TACATCATAGGAGATGAAATACAATTTTCAAAAGTTCCCAAATGATTTAGAAGTCTAGGTTCCATTTTCAAATGTGATTTAGGCACTTAGGAACCTAAGTCTTAATAAAAGTCAATAGACCAGGATCCTAAGGCCAGATTCTTTAAGGGTATGCGTACACAGCAATGAGCCTGGGCTCAAGCCTAAACCCCCTTGCGTCCATGCACCAATTGTGCTAATCTAGGGCTTGGTCCCAGGACTCTGCAGGGCTGGAGGGGCCAAGCCTGTGTTAAGTTGGGACCGAGGGTTCAAGCCCTAGAGCTCTCCTGTGTGCATGCGGCCCCGGCTCGACTCGGGTTCTGGAAGTCCTCCAGTTGTATCCCAGAGTTCCCAGCAGCAGAGGAGCCGTGCTGCAGGCAGCCAGCAGAGCTGCCGGAAGTGCCAATACTGCCTGGTGGAGCGTGCTCACCCTTCCTGCTCCAGCTTCTCCTCACTGCTGGGCAGAGGTTGCCTGGAGCAGGGAGCAAAGCTTACAGGCCAGAGGTAGCTGACAGCCACTGGGAGGTTGAGGGTCATCCTTCCCCAGCCTGTTGAGCCGGGAGCCCTGCTGCTCCACTCCCTGCAGGTCAGCTGCTTGGTCCCACTACACTCTCTAGCCCTTGCTCCCAGCTCCCCCGCAACCGCCCTGAGACTGCGTGTGCAGAGGCACCCGGGTGGCGTGCCCTGTGAGGGCAGTGGGTGGGAGTCAGCCCCAAAACTTCCCACAGCCTCCATGATATCCCTTAGCCTGCCTCCCTGGGTGCAGCAGAGGCAAGGATAAGGGGGCAAGGAGTAGGGGGTGCTGGAGCATACTGCCCCCCAAGCCCTGAGGATGCACTTCACTGCTCCGCCCTGGGGGGTTGGGGGTGTGTGTGTGTGTTTTTCCTCTGAAACCTACATGTTATGTCAAACGGCAAAACAGCTAGGTAAAAATAAATAAAAAGCCAACCAAACACCTTCACTGAACGCTCCATTTTAAAAATTAAGCCTTGCAAAGTTTCACTGGACTAGTCTGACAGCCCTGGAGACTGATGTGCTAATTATCCTCAGAACTGGGGCATTTTCCTGCCAATGTCACCCAGCCTAGAGGAGAGGAGCCCAGTTCTCAGGTTAGATGGTAGTTCAGTGTAAAGCCTTCTCAGACGGCAGTCATTCTCCTGAGCCAGCCACAAAAGGAGCTACGTATGCAGCTTGTGTATTTGTGCTCCTTATGAGCACCTGCATCCCATCAATAGCACCCCCACAGGTAGGAACAGGGTGGGCAGGCAGTAGAGTTTTCCCACAGTTCACCACATGTGTAGGGCTAGAATGTCAGCACTGGAGGTGGAGGGGGCTAGGCACTCTGGCATAGGGTTACTTTGACTCGGGTCTGTGCATTGCAGGGTGGATGCCAGAGCCCTAGGTTTCAGTACAGGTCAGAAAATCTTTCACCTAGGGTTCAAATGCAGTGTAGATGCTCAAGCCCAGGTCTCCCTGACACAGGTCAGCTGATCAAGTCCTGCTAACTCTAGGCTTATATTGCTGTGTAGACACACCTAAAGATGCAGATAAGCACCTAGTGGTATTTTCAAAATGCCTGAGCAGCATGACACCTAACTCCTCTGAATCAGCTGGTACTGGCCACTGTTGGAAACAGGATACTGGGCTAGGTGGTAAAGGAACAGTAGGTAAAGTCAGAGCCAAACTGCTCGAAGGATGCAGCAATATACTAAACGCCTTTGGCAAGGGTGGAGAAATCAAAGATTTAAAAACACAACAGATGTCGACCAAGGGGAGGGTAGGACAATGATACTTCTTCCAAATGTAGACTTAGATTCTCTGGCATCGAATAGCCATTTCCCCTTGGAATGAACAGAGCAGCTGATCAAAGCAAGGTTAGAATGGACACAGTTGCTTAAGTAGGGATCAGCGGGTTCCTTCTCCTTTACCACTTAAAGACTCTGCCATTGATGAATTCACTGCCTAGCATAACGTGCTGACTGCATAGACTGAAAAATAAATATTGAAAGAACTTTTGCACCTTCAGACTGTGATTCTACCTGTGGACTTTACAATGGAGAGGTTTCAGGCTTGGATGGACAGGCAGATAAAAACCATCAGTGAAGTGACTGATAGAGGTATTCAGGACGAGGGGAAAAGATGGGATTCCCAGATCTGGCCTCTATTATTATTTAGAGTTGTGCTCTCATACAGACTCACCTGTCTACAGAGCCAGGACCAGATCCTGCTCCAGATGAAGTAAGAGGCACAGTGTGAATGATCTCAGTGGAAACAGGATTGGGCCTTCAAGTTTGGAAAGCAGGAGAGGTGAACAGCATATTGTGAATTAAGGACAAAGTTTTCAAAAGTGAATTGTGAACTTGGCTGCTGAATCTGGGACCCCATAAAAAGGCCTGATTCTCAGAAAAGCATGAGTACCCATCCTCTGAAAAATCAGGCCCCTTTAAGATGTCTCAAATTGGGCATCAGAAATCAATCCGTCTCCATGATATTGGTCTATGAGGTTATTTCCAAGATAGGAGGTGGTTTTTGATGGAGAAAACTGTTCCAAAAACCAAGGCCTATATCACTTGAGCTAAAAATCACCCCTGTGGTAGCTAGCATGACTAGCCAGCACTAGGTGGCAACATCACACACACAAAGACAGATTGGGCTCTGCTTTATGCCTCCTAAAATAGAGCTTCCTGCACTTGGGACAGGTTCCCTTTTATGGTCTGCTAAGCACCCTATCTTTCAAATCCCCCTTCAAAGCCCATTTCTTCCAGAAGTCGCTCGTTATTCTCGCCAAAAATCTTTTCATGCCCAGGTTTACTTGTATTTTATCTTAGGTCTTGTTTTGCCTTTGACTTGTCTGTGTCATACCAAAACAAAAAAACTCTAAAGTCTGTGGGAAAGAGATTAAGGCCCCAAATCAACAAACACTCAGGCACGTATTTAATTTTGGTCACTTAGCCATTGGAAGCTATAGGACTACTCATGCGAGTAAAGTTACACAATTCTCATTCCATGCCCATATAAGGACCAGCATGTTGCAGAATTGATCTCCTTCCTCGTCTCCCTTTCATCATTGTTTTTGAGATTTACTCTGGCTGCCGCACCAACTAGTGGAGTGCACCACAGAAGGTCTCTGCAGGGCCCTGCTTTGATGGAATTTTGTTCTCTAAATGCTGTTTATCTTGTTGTGATAATGTCCTGTCTAGTCTGGGTGAAGGGTCATGAAATTCTGAATAGAAAATAACATTTCTCCAGAGGCTTAACAAACCTCCAAGCAGCTGTTCTGTGCAGATTTCTTCTAACAACTGAAATGGTTTGGTGTTCAGTCTCGTCAAGGGAGTTTTAATCAAAATTAGTGTTAAATGTCTTCCCTACAGCAATTCTTCCTCTAAATATTGAAGAGGTCTGATAGATCTAATTTCCCCCCCCTTCCCCCCCAAAACATTACAACTTACAGTGCATTACTTCAGGCTGCAGAGTTCTTGAGGTTAATGCATATCCTCCCACACACACCTGTGTCTGAGATTTCATTTTCTGATATGAAGGGGAGGTGCTGGTTATTCAGAATCCCTTTGATTTCCTTAAATGACTCCTCTTCTGGCTTTCAACTTCTCCACCAATTTGGACAGCCTAAAACACCACTGGTAAATACATCTGTGCCTGCCATTTTGACTGCATCACTCCTTCTGTGGCTTTCTCCTCATTAGATTCAGGTTCCTTGTTCTCAGCTTCAGTGCCCTAGATTTCTTCCAGAAATCCTCCCTCCCTTGTCCTGTCTTGACACTGTAATCTAGATTGCTCTCTCATATATTGTCTTCTTGCTCCCTGTTCTCTAATACTCCCATGCACACAGCTATAGAGCAAGTCACACTCTCCCACCCGGAGAGCTGAGACCAGACCCTATGATAACTGGAGTTGGTAGTAAATCTCTTATCATCCCTGTGGGCCAGACACTAGATGACAAAAACAACAACAACACACACACACACACACACACACACACAAATAGGCAGATCGTGGTCTGCTTTGTGCCTTCAGTAATGGAGCTTCCTGCACTTGGAACAGTTTCTGTTTTATTGTCTGCTAAGCACCATATCTTTATAACCCATGTCTTCCAGAAATCCTTCATCCCTCATTATCCTCACCAATAACTTCTTAACACTCTCCTTCACTTATATTGTAGTCTTGTCTCACCTTTGGCTTGTCTCTGTCAGTCAATAAGCTTTTTGCTGCAGGGTACATGCCTTACTCTGTGTTTTGTAAAGTTCTATGTTTAATTTGTGGCTGTGCTCTGCCAAATAAAAGAAAAAAAAATAGGAAAGTTTATCTATTGGGGGAGGCTTTTGAACGCCTGTATTTTATCTTCTGTCCTAAATCGACTTTCTTTTTAAAGGTGCATAGGAGGGTAATAGGACTTTCTGGAAGTCTTTATAGTCGTACCAATTTTGGCAGTAACCCAATAGCTCAGCCGTTCCACTCTGCTATGTCAAATTGACAGCACTGCATACAACATAAAAATAATGAAGTAATAATCCTAATAAAAATCAATAACCATGTCATTCCTTTGAATAGCTCGGGTAGTTAGAGATCAGTGCCTACCCTTAAAAATCAATAACCATGTCATACCTTTGAATAGCTCGGGTAGTTAGAGTTCAGTGCCTACCTTAGAGTTCAGTGCCTATCCTGTGTGGATGGAGCCTTGTGTCCATGTGGAACCCCAGTGATTTCAGAAGCGTGTGTGCTTTGGCTTCAGTGAAGCTCTGTGTGGGTGTAAGTCTCTGCCCCTGCGGATCTGATTGGAGGATCGGAACCATAAAATACTCCTGTTACTGTCTCTTGGTGGAGCAATTACGTCATGGTCTCCAGTACTGCTACCATCAAACTGTGCAACTTAGACACTGAACACGATATTTTGGCAAGATATTTCTTTATCAAAGATTTGAAAAAATATAAGAACAAGATGCTGAGAACCCACCAAAACTGCAGCATAAAAGCAGCTTTTCCTTTATTTCTCACATCCTTAATCCTTTTTATTTCTCAGACAAAGAGAAACTGAAATGACAGTTCAATCACAAAATTAACTAAAGAATCAGCCAGAAAGTGGAACAAATAAGAAGCCATAGAAGCTGCATACCTCACACCAGTTCAAACAGGCAGATATATTAAAAAAACAGACAGCATACAACATCTCCAGGCCAGAAGCACTGTGAAGACAAATTACACATTTGCCTGGAAGCTGGGTGGCACAATATTCTACATTCAGAGATATTAAAACATTAATGCTGATCTATTAAGCAAATCTCTAACATTTGAGTTAATGGTAATGGTAACATAGCAGAATGAATGATTTCAGGAACAGGCTAATATGTCTGATCCATAAATATAAAACAATGATACTGGGAGGGGCTATTAATAAATGAAGTTAATTTAACAGCTAACTTGTAAAAATGAGGGTGTGTTCGATTATCCTGACTTTGTAAAATGGGTACTGTTCAATTAAAAGTTGAGGATTTTTCATTAGTCTTATAAACCACCATCCTAATCTGCAAAATAAAATTTTGATCGTGTCCAAAATTGGCTAATGAAAAAATAATGAAAATGTTCCAGCAGAATCATTCCACGATTTGCACCCAGTCCAAACCCCAAAGTCTAAGTGGATTTTAAATAAATCAATAACCTCTTCCAATTCTACTCTGACAAAACTGTTGTATGGATTAATAATAGCATTACATGCTGTAACATTTCTCTAACAAAACTTTATGCAACCCTGTTTCACCGATTCTGAGAACAGTGTAAAACTAAAACAATACAGGCTTGATTCTACTCCCCAAATGTAAATCAGGAGCATCTCCATTTAAATCAGTGGTCTTCAATCCGCTCTCACTTATACTTATATTGGAGTTGTTCCTGATTTACATTGGTATAAAGGGGGGCAGAATTAGGCCTCATATCTAGTCCAAGCAACCAGATATTATACAAGTTATACATACTTTACAATAGTAACTTCTTAAGATGTGTTTTGTTTTGTTTTTGCCAGCGAGGGGACTGGGCTTAAATCGTGTGAACCTCACACCACATCAGACTCTGCCAAGGGAAGTTGGAATAAACCAGTTCACAGCAAATTTCATTTTACTCCATTGTCGTTGGTTGCCTTTTCTAGGTCTTCCATCATCAAGTCGTGCTGGTTGTTCATCCAGTTCCCTCTCTGAATTGGTTTCCCCTCATCCTTGGCATTTTGAGACGGTTGGTCCTCCAGCAGCTGGTGGGTGGTTGCCGGTAATATGGCATTGCTTTGGCCCCGCTGGGAGTAGAACTCCCTGCGCATCATTTCCCCAGAGCAGAGCTGAAGCTTAAAGGCTGCCTGGAAGCCTTGGCGAAAGTTCTCGTTGAAGAAGCCATAGATGATCGGGTTGATGCTGCTGTTGAAAAAGGCCAGCCAGTGAGCGAAGGGGTAGATGTAAATATTGATGATCCGCAGTTGGACCGCTGTCAGATTGGCATAGTCTGAGAGCATCATCAAAGTCCACAAGGGGAGCCAGGACAGGATGAAAAGCAAAGCCACAACGATGAGCATTTTGATCACCTTCTGCTTCTTCTTGGACACGGAGTGGCGCTGCTCCTGGCTCTGTTTTCCCCGTACAGGTGCCGCTTTGTTGAAGAGAGCGATCCCTATCCTGGCATACATAATGACGATGAGTGAAAGGGGGGCCAGATAGATGTTGGTAAACAGCACTGTTGTATAGATCTTTCTCATTTCCTGGTTGGGCCAGTCCTCCTGGCACCAGTATATAGGGCTGGTTTGATTGCCATAGCCGAGGATCACCCTGAAATACTTTTCCTCTTGTACCTGCAACATGACTGCAGACGGACACATGATGGCAATAGCCAGAACCCAGATGACTGCTAGAATGACAACCGCAGTTGATATGGTGAGCTTCTGCTTAAATGGGTAAACAATGCATCGGAACCTGTAGTGAAGAGATGAAATGCCAGAGAATAGATCTAAAAGCCATATAAAAACCAATGTCAATAAAACCCAGTTCAATCATTTATTTTAAACCTAAGAAATACGCATGCGCAGTCAGGGCCTCAGCTGGTGTAAATCAATGTAGTGACATCAGTGGAGTTTTGCATTTGACACCAGCTGAAGATCTGGCCCATGATTTGTAACAGGGGGTCCTCAAACTTGAGAGTGTGGTCCATATGTCAGTAGAGAAATTGCCTCATAGACCGTTCCCTTCCTAGTCACGATTGGCTGGGCCACCTCTCTGCCCAGTGACAGTTGAAGAACATTCCTGTGGCAACAGCAATAGCTGCTTACGTGGAAAGGTGGCGTTAGGAAAGTATGTCATGTAGTTTTAGGTGTCTCAATGTCATTTAGCAGCTGGCCATGAGGAGGAGTCAGCACCGTGTGACTAATCAGTTCTGCCAACCGGAAGCACATGGACCACAGTTTTGGAACAGCTGATTCATAAACATTTACTTCCACTGCAAATCAGCTTCTCTCGCTGGGCCTGCAGTACTTGACGAACAAGAAATTTTCTACCACGTCTTAGGAAGGAGGTGCACGGCCTGGGGGGTTTGGTCTATTGGACAGAGCATTGGGCCAGGCCCCCGGATGCAGAGCTGTATACACAGCTCTGCCTCTTCTCTGTTGTGCGACACTGGACAGTCGCATCAAATGTGGTCCTGCTCACTGACATCACTCGCCATTAAAAAAGGGTCAGACCCAACAAATGGCCAATCTTGCGTTTAAAAAAAGAAGTTTATTTTATGCTAATTTTGACCATCCTCGACCGAATCCCTCCTTGTGCTTCAGCAGACTGCTACCTCACCACGGGGGTGGGGCCAGCGGAAGCTGCCTGAAGAGACTGCAGCTGCTTCAAAGAAGGGGAAGGGTGGCGTCGAAGGGAGAAGGAAGCGGCTAGGAATCTGGGGCAGGAAGGGAGAGACCTACCCCTGCTCCCAAAATGAGATGAGAGCGGCAGCAGGGGGTCTGAGGCGAAGCAACTGGCTATCTCACTACCCCAGTGGTATTCTGGGCGGGGAACAAGGGAGAAACACCCTCCCCACAGCATTGAAGAGGCAGAAATAGAGGCTGGGAAAAAGTATTTATAACATCCTCCCCTACCCCCAGGAGGGACCCAGAGCAGCCTGGCTCGGGGATGGGAGAAGACATACATCCCTTCATAAAAGATGGGCAGGCTGGGAGGGAGGAGGAGCTCTTTAGAGTAGCCCAGCAGGCCAAGTCCTGTGATCTTGGCCCTGAGCATGGAATTGCCACCCCTCCTGCTGCTGCTACAGACCTGGGAGGGGGCCTTCTGGTCCCAGCAGCTCTTTGATCTGCCACCTGAAGGGAGAGTAGCAGACACAGGATCTGCCAGCCCCCTCTGGGGCACTCTCCCCAGACAGGGATGGGCGAATTCCTTGCTCTGCTGGGGGATGGGGACTCTCAGACTTCTCTCCCCTTCCCTCAGCAGCAGATCAGAGGGCCCTGGGCTCAGAATATAGACCCGTTGTTCTCAGCTCTGCAAGCAGCAGGCGGGAGAGATGGAGCCACACTAAGGGGGTTCCCCTGCAATGCCTGCTCCTCTACCATCTTTATGGAAATCAAGTGGGGGAAAAAATGATGATGGCCAAACTTTAACCTAGCCGTGCCTCATTCTGCCCATCCCTAAAATGGGCACAATACACCCCATCTCATCAGGGTGTTATGAGGATGAATTGGTAATTGTAAAAATGCTGGGGATCCCGGGATGATAAGCAATATATTTGGTTTTTTTTTTTACTGAATATTGGTTTCAGAGCTTTACATCATCTTACCTGTCAACTGCAATTGCAACCAAAGTGAAAACGGAGGCTGAGACAGAGATTCCCTGGACCATCCCACTCATTTTGCAGACCATGCTCCCAAAGGGCCATCCTGGAAGGTACAAATAGAAATAGCCATAAAAAGGTAAATTGCTTCCATGTCACTTCAGCACTGAAGGCTCAGTAAAGGAGCATCCTTCCCAGAACACTCCCAGAGCTGAAGTGCTCCCCCCAGGCATAATGCTGTCCAAGGGCAGGTGAATGATGGTGCACAGTGCCCCACCACAAGGTAATAAAAGGGGGGCAGAGATTAATGTCAAAGTCTGGCCAGAGATGTTCTTCTGATGACTGATCGTAGCACACATGTATCTGAAGCATTAGCATGAGCACCGGTTAAAGCAGCACCATGTGAGAGGAAAGGGAGATAGACACTATAGCTGCAATGGTTTCACATGCTTCCATATAAAACAGGGACCTTACCTTACAGAGGTATAACTTTCACCTTCTCCTAGCCCCCCACAGTGTGTATCAACTTAGACTCCATTAGAATTACTTAGACTTGGTTAATCACTTAAACTCATTCCTAGTTACCAACAATTTACACGCCACCCTTTACATGTCATCTCTACATCGGACCAACAGAGTCTACTGAATCTAACAGAGAGCAACAGCATCTAATCTGGGAAAACGCACGTGCCAAGGGGTAGAAAGGAGGAATGTAGCAAAAAAAGCAATTAGGAGAAGATACAGGAAGGTGTGTGTTGAAGATGACCACATCTTATTTTAAATTACACTTCCTGGTTTCTCAGCATGTAAGTTCCACCAGCAAAGACTACTTCAGACCCCCTTACAAATGTCTGTGAGTAGGGCTAATGGAGTGTGACTGTACATCTAACATAGACTGTCTCCTTCACCACCTCTGAATGTGTTTAATTCCCAACACTGATTGCAAATAGCCATAGTAATAACTCTTTGTTAGTCTCTAAGGTGCCACAAGTCCTCCTGTTCTTTCTGCGGATACAGACTAACACGGCTGCTGCTCTGAAACCAGTAATAACTCTGTACCTTTCATCACATTGTATTGGTTGGCAGGTGTCGATGTCCCACCTCTGTTGTGTGACACCGGACAATAATGCACCAATCAAAATTTCATTTTAGACATCATGTCCCTCCCATTTCCCACCCTCTTTTTATCTGGTTACATGGCTATGAAGGTCCTGCCAGCCCTTTCCTAAATTTCAAAAGTGCCTTGGTATCGTTTCTGGACCTGTGCGCATTTTCACTGCCGTGCCACCATTTTGGAAAACAAAGAGTGTTTATTTTCTATTTAATGCATCCTTATGTGAATCTTTAAATAAATAATACAAATAATTTTTTTAGGAAAATATGCTTTTATGCAACTAGCTCAAATCTAAATAAATACATAAATTTTATTCAGAAGAATAAATGGGAAGTGATGATATATATTGCATGGGTTTTCCAAATTTTCGTAATTATACAGCTAGTTTACCTCACTGACCAGGTCACTTACAATATTCATATCATTATTAAATATGATAAATAGCTTAATATATAGCAGCTCCATGATGGTCACACCTGGATTAAACATTCATCGTTTGTGTATTGAGAAGGCAGTTTTATTTCCAGGATTCAGCAAACAACCCCCTCATTTACAGAGATGTATTATAGTAAAAAAAAGAGCACAAACAAATTTTCATGGTCTATGCTTTTCTATTTGTTTGGAGTACAGAGATAAAAATTGCAACATCTGTCATCCACACAAACTCCCATCCTTCACTTCTCTACCCTTCTCTTCCTGATATCTGATGGTAAAAGAGATGTTCATTGGGTACCAGCCTCTCCATTTCCTTCTGATAAACATTTTGAGGTTTCATTAGAAGTCTAATGAACCACAAACAAAACAAATAACATTTTTATCTCTGTGCTTCAAACTGTTACAGAATTATGGATTGTTGCTCTGTGAGTGAGGGGTTTGTATTCTCCTGGAAATTAAACTTGCTTAATTTACATCCAGTATAAGAAAGAAATGCAGCATTGTAAACTGTCTGCAAGATGGTTTGTTTGTTTGTTTGTTTTCTCTTGTTTTTTGAATGCTATGTTTTCCACCAGGCAAAACTACCAAAATTAACAGACTTCTTGCATAGTTTGAGCCAAAGGAGCTAATTTCCAATAATTCAAAGTTAAGTGAAGAAATACATAACATTTATGAGTCGGTGGGAGAAATATAGGAATATTTGGGGATGAGGGGCTCAGGGTTTGTAATACCATTAGGGGCTCTTTATTAGTTTTAAATAAACATATAAGAGGGAATGTGTGGAAAAATTTATTTAGATATGTTAGATAACTGTAGATGTGTGCTCCTTTTGGTGGGTATTCTAGTTTAAATCTCTAGTTTAATGATAGCAGCAAAGTTGGTGGTAGCTCAATGATCAGGGTAAAAATTCCTCTACTATTTTAACATTGTACACTAGTGTACGGGCTAAGATTAGGCACAAAAAAAAAGATAAAGATGCCTTTTATTTTATATATTCCAAAAACAGTAGCAACAAAACCAAAGATTAAACTCGATAAGTTTATGGAGGAGATGGTATGATGGGATAACATGATTTTGGCAATTAATTGATCTTTAAATATTCATGGTAAATAGGCCCAATGGCCTGTGATGGGATGTTAGATGCGGTGGGATCTGAGTTACTACAGAGAATTCTTTCCTGGGTGTCTGGCTGGTGAATCTTGCCCATATGCTCAGGGTTCAGCTGATCGCCATATTTGGGGTCAGGAAGGAATTTTCCTCCAGGGCAGATTGGAAGAGGCCCTGGAGCTTTTTCACCTTCCTCTGTAGCATGGGGCACAGGTCACTTGCTGGAGGATTCTCTGCTCCTTGAAATCTTTAAACTGCAATTTGAGGACTTCAATAGCTCAGACATAGGTGAGAGGTTTTTCACAGGAGTGGGTGGGTGAGATTCTGTGGCCTGCGTTGTGCAGGAGGTCGGACTAGATGATCATAATGGTCCCTTCTGACCTTAGTATCTTTGAATCTATGAAAGTCTATGCAGTCATTCTTCAAATATTAACAGCAGGCTCTGAGATCCAAAATGCATGTGGGAGCTTAGATAATACATAAAATAAAGGATACTTGGAACACAAAGTCTTGTCTTATCTTTAAAAAAACAAAACACCTATTATTCAATGTCGTAGAAGTAATACAACCCATACAATGGGCTATGGTCTTAACCAGACAAATTCAAAGCTGTGTCTATGTATCCCGTGTGGTTTGAGTGCCATTATGTTGCACTGCTCACATATGCATACCATTATATCTGTTAAAATAATTTGAAATTAAATAGATTTTTAAAATTTGATACAGAAATCTAGACGAACATTCCTCTGATAGGTACACAAGTGCTAGACAGGCTCTTTTGTCAATAGCTACTCATCAAAAATATGATTTTTTGTTTGTTTGCATGCTTGTTTTACTCTAACACAACTATGGAAGCAAGGGTTCTTTTGCTGTGTCCTTGAAACTAATACATTCTTTGCAATTCACAAATGATAAATTTCCATGACAGGGTAAATACATACTTATAAACTGCTTCTATAGGGTATTTTATATCCTATGCAATTAATTAGGTAAAAATGTACTAAAATTAAAAGGCCTCTTATACAGTTTAAGCCAATAGGTACTAATTTCTAATAAATGTAAAAAGATAAGACGAAAGGTATTACTTTGAGCAAATGGAATATGAATAGAGATTAAACCTATGATACCTCTAGGGGCTCTCTACCAGTTTTGAAAGACAGCTGCTACCAGATTTTAAAGACAGCTGTTAGAGGGATTTATTAGAAAGAGGAAACTTTATTCCTGGTTGAAAATTAAAAACCTGGCTCACTAGTAGATGGTATATAAGGGTCTTTTTAAAGTTTGATAAATAAATCTAGATGTGTGCTTCTTCTGATTTTGGTATTTAAGTTTTAATTTGTATTTTAATATGCTCCTATGCATAGTTCCATAAAAAGCCACAGGGTTAAAGAAAACCTGCAGCTGACTCAGGAAAATGTGGTACATTTTAATGTGCTCTGATGTATAATTCCATTAAAGATAATTAAAAATACCTTTTGATTGGCTCAGCAAATGAGGAGTGTTTTTTTCCGCAAACTCCTCTGCAGCATCTGAGTGTTTATTTAATTTGATTTATACCGAATGGTACTAACGGCATACCAGAATAATTTCATCTGAAAAGAGGTAAAATGCATTAAATATATATTATTTCCCATTTATGCCTCTGTCATCAAGCCTTTCTGCATTTATTTAATTGATTTAGAATTGTACTAGTAGTTTTGTACAATGATTTAATTGAATATATTTAGATTTATGCTAACTGCATAAAAGCACATTTTCCTAAAAGGTAAGGAAAGGGCATGAAATATATATATGTTTGTTTGGTTTTAGTCAGTCTCATAAGAATAGATTTAAAAAAAAATAGGGTTTTCTCAAGCTGTATGGCACCATAAATGCACACCTGTCCAAAAATGATACTGATGGACCTCAGAAAGGGTAGACAGGACTTTGAAATCTATACAGCCAACTTATGTGACAAAAAGGGGGAAGAGGGGAAGAAAGGTGTGTAGTTTAATGCAGGCTTCTAACTGGCTTATATCACAGCACTGGGTGTGGACACTTGTCAAAAAATATGTGGGGAAGAAATGTATAAAGTTATTACCACTAATACTCATCACATTGTGTAATTGTGTCCAATCGCAGGGCTGACAATACCTATTTAAATGAAAAATGTGTGTGTGTATATATATATATATACATATATTAAATTAACCACATGAAAATTCTAGCATATAGTCAATATAAAAAGTCAAAATTTGCCAACTGATCACACACAGTTGCCACGCTATTTCCTAGTCTGTTCCTGGTTCTGCTCTCGGTTACACCAGTCTTTGGTCAACTGAAGTCAACAGAGCTTTGCTGTTGTACACCTAGTGTGCTGGCCTTCTAGGAATGCCTGAGGTACCCTGAAGAAACAGATATGCCTTAGCTGTGCGTATGCGCGAATGACTGGCAACCACTCACTATTGACGACAGCCCTGTATGCCATTTTGGTGACCTCTGCCATGGTTAGTTGAGGATTGGTGACAGGCAGATCTCAGAAGGTTCTGACATATCTCTGAGCCTTTGGAGGCTGCAAAACTGGGTTTGAGGTTTTACAAAAAAAAGAATATGTTGTGAGTTTTTTTTTTTTTTTTTAAAGCGGTCTGATTTTAATCCATCTGGAAACAGAAAGAGGGGAGATTGACTCATAGTCTAATTTCCATTCCCAGCTCTGGCTAGGACTTGGAAGTGCAGGGACGTGAAAAACAATGAAGAAAAAATGTGAACTGGAGGCCAGGTCCTTAGGTCCAGCCAAGCTTCACTCACTGCAGGACCACGGAAGTGATGGGAAAGGCGGCCAAGTTGGTGCCCTCTCGATCCTGGGGGGCAGCCAGGGATTGGACTGGCTCCCTTTTGTACGTCTGAGTAGCCTCGGGGCATGCTAACTCATGCCTCCAACACACATCACCTTCCCCCATAACCCCCTGATGCCAGGGGGAGTTGGAAGTGGTGGTGAAGAGCTAGCTATGCTGACTTTTTACCATTGTGGGGGCAGGTTTCACCCTCACTAAGGGTAGTGAGACCACCTATGCTGTGATGGCAGCTTCCTGGCACCTTTGAATCACTCTCATGGTGCCCAGAAGCCAAAGCAGGGGCCAAAGATCTGGCTCTGCATGTTCTTGAACTTGATATATATTTAGGGCTCTAGTCCAGGGCAGGCTTGGGCAAAGATTTTTGTTGGTTCTTCTTTTGCACATCCTGAGTGAGAACCAAACTCTGTAGGAGATTTCCATGATCGCTCCAACATTTATATCATCAGGTTCTACCTACCTGTTACGATGTTATCGAGGAGAGTGGTGGGCATGCAGAATATCCCCACCAGTAAGTCACTGACAGCCAGATTCAAGATGAAGAGGTTTGTGACTGTGCGCATGTGCTTGCTCCTCAGAACAATGAAGCAAACCACTCCGTTGCCAAGCATACACAGGAGGAAGATGAGGAGGTAGGAGATGATGAAGACGGCTGCCACTGCTGGCTGATGAAGGTAGAAGTCCACATAGGAAATGTTGTGGTCTGGGTATGGATGCTTGTATGTCCCATTGAAACTCAGCATCTGAGGCCAACTGAGTGAAGAATTGGAATCCACTTCCTCATTCATATTGAGTTGTGCCTTGTAAGATTAAAAACAAGAGCACATTATAATATGCCTGAAAGCTGCCTAAAGGGATCTGTGTGCCCATTTCCCATTAAAATAGGCACTGCTGTTGTTTTATAATCTTGTAATACCTGTACAAACAATTATATATATACCACATCTGGCACCTGCCCTCTGCCCACTCATATTTGCCAGGACTGATTATAGCAGCCCATCGCCTGAGCAACCACAAACAGCTGCTGCTTTTTTTTTTCCCCAAAATATACAATGTACCATCAAAGTTATTCCTTCTTTCCTTCACTAATTTGGGTGCTGTGGTTTCTGGGTGTCCAGTTTGAGACAGCTTGGGCCTCCTGCTTAGACGTGGCTTCTGTGGGCGCTGTGTTTAAATTTGGGCACCCAAAATTAATGGCCACTTTAAAAAATGTAGGCCTTTCCATCTGGTACTTCACACCCCTCAGAGCTAGAATAAGGAGATTTCAGTCATTAGGAATCTAGGAATCCTCCCTTTCCGATGGGATGAGGCTTTTGTTTCTAGCAACTGTAGATCATAAGATATCACGAGACTTTAACGTCAGGATATTTCTACTGTGGTGCGTATCGCTGTGCATCTAAAAGGGGATGTGGTCGTTCTGTTTTCTGTGAGTTGCACCTTCCAATGAAGAGAAGTTGCTACCTACTTGCAACAGCAACTGAGAGACTGTGTTTCACTTCAGGTGTAGAGTATTAGTGAATCACTGTCCTCTCTCGCTCACAGAGACTTTGTTTGTTGTTTGTTCTTTCCTTTAACAAGAAATAAGACATTTAAACCAGGAAATTTATATTTTGTGCTTAGGATCATCTAGCAGTTAAGGTGCTGGCCTGGGACTCTAGATATCTGGATTCATTTCCTGGCTCTGCTGCTGACTTCCAATGTGACTGTGGGTAAGTCGTACTTCATCTCTCTGTGAGCTCCCCATCTATAAAAAGTAGATAATACTGCTTTTCCCATTCTGTGTCCATCTCATGTATTCGCATTGTAACATCCTTAAAGCAGAGGTCATCTCTCATTCTGTGTTTGTACAGCACCTTGCACCATGGCGCTCTGATCTTGGTTGAAGAATCTAGGTACTACTGTAATGCGATTTATAAATAATAATAATAAATACTGAATTATGTTTCTTTGTGCTTTATTTAATTTGCTGGCTTGTGAAATGTTTCCCATCTTTGTGCCTTCCTTGGGTATATTAGAAACCTAACCTAGTTCTGCATCATCCTGGAACGCAGTAGATTTGACTCACCAAGAATGGTAGCGTGGCGATGTTTGTTAGTATTAGAAATGAGGTGGGAGTGTTTTGATGACACAGGCATCTGAGTCTGACCACGTCAAACTTGTGTCAGTAGTTGCCCACAGATATTTCAATAGTGTTGTTGACTCTTCTAGAGTGGCCCTTAGAGGCAATGTGATCGCTACAGTTTTCTCTTCCCTTCCCCACCCCACCCATCAAACTACACACAGTAACCTATTGAAAATAACACTGTAAGCCAAACTGTGACCCAACTTGCTCAGCTGTGCTAAGGAGTCAGGGATCATACGCTAGCTCAGCTATTGAGTCACAGTAATAATACTGTATTGATAGTAGCTCAATAGATAGGTGTCGCTGAGCCTGTTTGAATGCAGCTGGTTAACATTTCCACCTGAACCATTCACCTGCCTTGGAACTTCAGAACATCTTGCAGAATTTCACACTGCAAAGACTTGGTCTAACATTTTTCAGTTTTACTATGACAAGGTTGCTGCATGAACCATAATATTTTGCAAACAAACTAGAAGAAAGCGCATGGGAATTTAAAACATCTTTCCCCTTATTTGTTTCCATCAATGTTTGAAGTGCTTTTTTTCCGCTCCCACCTAAATATTGGGGCATAGAATGTAGGGGTTTAGGGACAGATTGTAATGCTATTCCTCATATGAGTAACGTTGTCATCAATGGAACTGCTTTGTGAGGAAGGGGTTCATAAGCTGGCCCTCCAGTGGCACACCAAAATAGGATGCCACTCACAGGAGTTGTGCAGCTGTAAAGAGAGACAAGGAAATTATAAAAGTGTTCGCTTTTCCTTTGCTTTACTACTCATTTGTAACCAAGAGCTGAACCTGTTCTCTCAGTGCCAGCCCAGCTATGCTTTTATTGTGTTTAATTTTTATTTAGATATTTTTGTCTCTCTCTTTTCAAACTTTGTTTCACTTTGCATGTGTGTAATTGGTGGCAGAGTCTGCACATTTAGGGCTATGCTTTTGTCAGATGTTCATAAGTCAGGGAACCTGGTCATCGATCTCAGAGAGAAAGGGGTCACTAACTTCAGAGGAAAAGGGGATCGTTTAATCAGAAATGAGGGCTCTGCAAGGACCGTCCCCAGCAGGTGCTGTGTGGGAGCTAATATAGACCAATGTGAGTACAAGGATTGCTACAGAACAAGAGGATTGCCTGGTGGGTGCAGTTACAATAAGTCACCCAGATGTTCCCAGGTTTGCATGTCCGTACATCTCAAGAAATGAGTGGACACCACACCAACCAAAATGGCTGACTTCAGTGGACACTGTGGGTACTTACCTACCGCCTCTGAAAAGTAGGCCTCAAGTCCCACAGCAAATCAGCCTTGTTCAGAAAAGCCTTCCAATGGAGAAAAAGAGGGAAATTTTGTTATGAAACCCTTTCGCATTATATGTCTTGTACAGAAAGTAACTTTGTAGATCACTGCCTAAAATATATCACAGTAATACGTAACACTTTATGGGCCAGATCCTCAGCTGATGTAAATCGGTGTAGCTCTGTTGCTGGCCCTATGCTTTTATATAAAACTATAAATAAAATTAAAAGGAGGGGAAAAGCAGAAATCTTTGTGCAGGAAAGATTTTTGTTCTTCACCTTGAACCTGAAAGACACAACAAATATTAATAATACAGCTGACAAAATATTTCCACCACACTTTCACCAACTCTTGGAGTTATACTGTGCAGAAATTTTAGCTTCAGCCTTTGTTTATATGTCACACACTCTATTTTTTGCCCTCTAGCTCCAGTAGAATTGTGAGATCCTGCTCATTCTTAATGATCATCTTAACCCATATCAGACTTTTAACCTTTGTGACACAACCCATGTAAAACTGATATGAGACACCAGATTACAGCTACATCGGTGTCTTGACATCTGCAGCGACTCTAGACACCCTAACTTCTTTTCAGCACCCAAGTGGTTTAAACTGATTCTTAGTTTTATCTTCCAGATGGAGACTTTGAAACTCAACTAAATTAGGTACTGAATAAGGTCAGATTTCTGTCCAATGTACAACTCACAATTTGGAAGTAATTTAATTAAAACAGGCTTATTTATATACTGATCAGGCATATATAACTAGGTCAAAGGAGCAGTGTTGATTTTAGTTAATAATAAGACCAATTAACCTCATATTAAAATAGGTGACAGAAGACACAAATAATAAATAAGAAAGGAAGCTCTCAAGACACTTCCCATATTTGTTTCTCTTGACTGGGTTGTAAATTGAACTTATGAGCATCCACCAGCGTGATTAGTCATGGGGAGAGAAGGGAAATGTTGGCAGGATCTTCTTTTTAACGGAGAATTGTGATAGGCCCAAGAGCATTAAAAGTATGTTAACAGAGTGTGAATATAGATACTGGCAAATAATGACGCCCAGGACTGGGCCTTGAGGCAGGGCTCTGAAGAAGGGATGTGTATACTAGAGCTGGAATAGGGTAAATTCCCTCGCTAGCTCTGATCTATGGCAAGGGAAAGGCTCCAGAAGTTCCCTGCAGTGGGGAAAGGCTCTGACAGCAGGGAGGCAGCCGGAAACTATACTGCCAAAAACAGCAGTGTAGACGGGACAGGCACTGCTTGGGCATGTCGAGAGAGAGCTGTGCATGGTACATATCCACAGGGTTTACTCGTCTAAGCAATGCCTCACCGTCTACACTGCTATTTGTACTCCTGCTAGGGGCATGCAGTGCATGTCCTCCATATGCCACCATAAGATCTGTGCAGTGTAGACGTACCTCCAGAGACAGGCTCTGGGTAGATCATAAGTGACATATGGATCTTATTCCACTGCTGGGCTACTAAGATACTGACACATTCTGTCCCAGTAGAAACACCAGAAATCGGTGGGCAGTTCTGACTTATTTTAAAAGTCATATTTGGCTTCATTTTGTTACTAAGCAAGACAAACCTGTGGAGGTGCCCCGCTACCAACATTGCAGGGTTGCTGCTGAGACTCACTGAGATACTTAATGAAAAGTAAACGAAACACCAAGGAATGAAGCAGCATGTGCAAGCAATGCTGCATCCCCAATAGTCTTGCAGGGTAAACAAAGCACTGTAACATACCTTTATAAAGCTAATGGGATTGTGCAATCAAAATGTAAGAAATTTACACCCATGCGGAGGGCCAGCATGAAGCCGCTGCATCAGTTAAGTTTCACAGCCTATTTGGAAGGCTTAAGTAGGACACTGGCAGTACAGTTAACCCCACGTGTTCTTAAAAACCAGAAGCCAGTCCCCAAAAAAACATAAGGAGGACTTGCGGCACCTTAGAGACTAACCAATTTATTTGAGCATAAGCTTTCGTGAGCTACAGCTCACTTCATCAGATGCATAAAGTGGAAAGTACAGTGAGCAGATTTTATTCATACACACAGACCATGAAAAAATATACATTGTAAGGAGAGTGATCACTTAAGATGAGCTATTACCAGCAGGAGAGCGGGGTGGGGGGAGTAATTACCTGCTGGTGAGTGCAGAGCTCATCAGCAGAGGTGACTATGATGGAGTCCCAGAATCGCAAAAGAGCTCCAGCATAGACCGAACGGGAGGTACGGGATCGGATCGCTGTATGGGGAGAGGAATCCGTGCTATCAGAACTATGTTCCAGTTTTCGAAATGCCAAAACATTTGTCAAACTCTCCCAGGGCATGAAGGACAGAGGCCATAACAGGGACCCAAAGCAGTGCTGCGTGAAACTTAAGGAGCTGAGGCAAGCCTACAGAAAACCAGAGACAAATGGCCGCTCCAGGTCGGAGCCTAAAACATGCCGCTTCTATGATGAGCTGCATGCCGTTTTAGGGGGTTCAGCCACCACTATCCCAGCCGTGTTGTTTGACTCCTTCAATGGAGATGGAGGCAACACGGAAGCAGGTTTTGGGGAAAAGGAAGATGATGATGATGATGAGGAGGTTGTAGATAGCTCACAGCAAGCAAGTGGAGAAACCGGTTTTTCCGACAGCCAGGAACTGTTTCTCACCCTGGACCTGGAGCCAGTACTCCTTGAACCCACCCAAGACTGCCTCCCGGACCTGCCAGATGGAGAAGGGACCTCTGGTGAGTGTACCTTTTAAAATACTATCCATGGTTTAAAAGCAAGCATGTTTAATGATTAATTTGCCCTGGTACTCGCAGCTCTCCTGGATATACTCCCAAAGCCTTTGCAAAAGGTTTCTGGGGAGGGCAGCCTTATTCCATCCACCTTGGTAGGACACTTTACCACTCCGGGCCAGTAGCACATACTCGGGAATCATTGTAGAACAAAGCATTGCAGTGTATGTTTGCTGGCGTTCAAACATCCGTTCTTTATCTCTCTGTGTTATCCTCAGGAGAGTGATATCATTCATGGTCACCTGGTTGAAATAGGGTGCTTTTCTTAAGGGAACATTTAGAGGTGCCCATTCCTGCTGGGCTGTTTGCCTGTAGCTGAACAGAAATGTTTCCCACTGTTAGCCACGGGGAGGGATGAGAGGCTAGCCACGCGCTGGGGGGAGGCAAAATGCAATCTTGGAACGAAAGCACATGTGCTATGTATGTAATGTTAACAGAAAGGTTTCCTGTGAAAGAGTGTACCCATTGTTCTATAAAATGTGTCTTTTAAAATACCACTGTCCCTTTTTTTTCTCCACCAGCTGCATGTGTTTCAAGGATCACAGGATCTTCTCCTTCCCAGAGGCTAGCGAAGATTAGAAGGCGAAAAAAAACACACGCGTGATGAAATGTTCTCTGAGCTCATGCTGTCCTCCCACACTGACAGAGCACAGACGAATGTGTGGAGACAGACAATGCCAGAGTGCAGGAAAGCACAAAATGACCGGGAGGAGAGGTGGTGGGCTGAAGAGAGTAAGTGGTGGGCTGAAGAGAGGGCTGAAGCTGAAAGGTGGTGGCAGCGTGATGAGAGGAGGCAGGATTCAATGCTGAGGCTGCTGGAGGATCAAACTCATATGCTCCAGCATATGATTGAGCTGCAGGAAAGGCAGCTGGAGCACAGACCGCCGCTACAGCCCCTGTGTAACCAACCACCCTCCTCCCCAAGTTCCATAGCCTCCTCACCCAGACGCCCAAGAATGCGGTGGGGGGGCCTCCAGCCACCCAGCCACTCCACCCCAGAGGATTGCCCAAGCAACAGAAGGCTGGCATTCAATAAGTTTTAAACTTTTAAAGTGCTGTGTGGCCTTGTCCTTCCCTCCTCCACCACCCCTCCTGGGCTACCTTGGTAGTTATCCCCCTATTTGTGTGATGAATTAATCAAGAATGCATGAATGTGAAGCAACAATGATTTTATTGCCTCTGCAAGTGGTGATCGAAGGGAGGAGGGGAGGGTGGTTAGCTTACAGGGAAGTAGAGTGAACCAAGGGGCGGGGGGTTTCATCAAGGAGAAACAAACAGAACTTTCACACCGTAGCCTGGCCAGTCATGAAACTGGTTTTCAAAGCTTCTCTGATGCGCACCGCGCCCTCCTGTGCTCTTTTAACCGCCCTGTTGTCTGGCTGCACGTAACCAGCGGCCTGGCGATTTGCCTCAACCTCCCACCCTGCCATAAACGTCTCCCCCTTACTCTCACAGATATTGTGGAGCACAGAGCAAGCAGTAATAACAGTGGGAAATATTGTTTTTGCTGAGGTCTAACCGAGTCAGTAAACTGCACCAGCACGCTTTTAAACTTCCAAATGCACATTCTACCACCATTCTGCACTTGCTCAGCCTGTAGATGAACAGCTCCTGACCACTGTCCAGGCTGCCTGTGTACGGCTTCATGAGCCATGGCATTAAGGGGTAGGCTGGGTCCCCAAGGATAACTATAGGCATTTCAACATCCCCAACAGTTATTTTCTGGTCTGGGAATAAAGTCCCTTCCTGCAGCTTTTGAAACAGACCAGAGTTCCTGAAGATGCGAGCGTCATGTACCTTTCCCGGCCATCCCACGTTGATGTTGGTGAAACGTCCCTTGTGATCCACCAGTGCTTGCAGCACTATTGAAAAGTACCCCTTGCGGTTTACGTACTCGCCGGCTTGGTGCTTCGGTGCCAAGATAGGGATATGGGTTCCGTCTATGGCCCCACCACAGTTAGGGAATCCCATTGCAGCAAAGCCATCCACTATGACCTGCACATTTCCCAGGGTCACTACCCTTGATATCAGCAGATCTTTGATTGCGTTGGCTACTTGCATCACAGCAGCCCCCACAGTAGATTTGCCCACTCCAAATTGATTCCCAACTGACCGGTAGCTGTCTGGCTTTGCAAGCTTCCACAGGGCTATCGCCACTCGCTTCTCAACTGTGAGGACTGCTCTCATCTTGGTATTCTTGTGCCTCAGGGCAGGGGAAAGCAAGT